TATCTTCACTTCTAGAGGATATTCTGACATTCTCAATTTCTTGAAAATTCAAATAAAAGTACTGCCACTTAAGTGGTAATTAGTTCAAGCCCATTTCAGGCTGTAATTAGCCTGGAGGTAGCGAATACGCATGGGAAGGCAGGAGTGCTGGGTTCGAAATTGACCAGGACCTGTTTTTTGTACGGTAAAAATTCCGGTTCAAAAACATTGTGGCCTATTATTTCTCTGCTTATGTTTTGTTGGCTTAGGTGCCAGATCTAAGAATCGTTTATCTTTGGTGCAAACAAATTTCACTGTAGTTGCTGATTTTTTGTCTTCTTTTTTCGACGTAGTCGGTTTCGGCTTATTTTTTGTCTACTTATTAGTCCCTTATTGCATCGCTTGATGACCGAGTAAAGTTTTTGTGTGCATGTGTGTTCTGAGGGGACTCATTTTTTTATTAAGAATTTTTTTTCGTAATGAAGGACTTCTGCTGAGGTTCCGTCTGTTTTGTTACAGCTTGGTAAATTTTGTTAACATGTTTATTTTGTAGTCTATTGTCTTCGCATATTTTGTTTCGAAATGGTCTTCATTCGTTTGACAGATTGGTTGTATGTATAGTTATAAAACATCGATATTACTTTTTTTTTACTTATGATTTTTTGGCTTTCGATTTAGCTCTCGGTATAGTTTCCGATTTGTGTATACCATCTTGATTTCAGCACCTATGTGGCTTTCCTGGATTATATTGGAGCCGTACATGTTCATTTTCCAATAAGAGTTTGTCGAACAATTTTGGTTAATTTTCAGCTAATTGGCTGTCGGCTTTAATTTTTTCGGCCTAATTTTTTGTTTACTACTAATTTTCGATATTATTGATGAGATCGTTAAGACTGCGGCCTCAAATTGGAATTTTAAAAAGCTTTAGTTCAACCCCACTTGGAACTTCTCTCTTTAAATAAAATTTAAACATTAAAAAGTGATTTTCTTTTGTTTCTAGTTGTTTTTCTACGGTTACAACTTTCGAAGTCATCTTTGATAATTCTGGACTGTCTTGCTGTTTTAATCTTTTATGTGTTGTTTTAATCTTTTATTTGTTGTATCGCAAGTGGTACGAAGCTCAGCTTTACCTCTTTCTAAAAAACTTCGGCTTAAAAAGTTTCTGCTTAGATATTTTAGGCTTTGTCACCGCTACGTTAATTTTGTTCCGATGCTGATTTTGCATTCTATTGTTTGGGCATGTTTTTTTTCACAGCCTACCTTTTTTTGATAAACCTAGTTGTATGTATCGCAAGTGGGGCGAAGCTCAGCTTCGCCTTAGTGATGAAATATTGCATTTTCAATCACTTGAATAAAAAGCTGTGAAACACTCTTGAGCCCTTAGCAAGCCACTGCGAGCTTTGCACGCAGTAATTTTCAGATTTCAGTGTTTCGTTTCATTGAGAAGTCATGGTTGTACACTTCAACAAAGGAGTTGGATACTTAAACAGAAAAATTCAATTTTTCTCATATCTCGTGAAATTATTTCTTTGTAGTTATTTTATTATTTTATGTGAAGCATTCAAAATTATTTGGAAGCATTCTGTCAGTTTATGTGATCAAACGTTTTTCGCGAATCTTGTCAAGCCGTTCAGGTCAACTTAAAGTTAATGTTTGATTGCTTTTTGGTTCGAAGATTTATGAATCATGTCAAGTGTTCAAAACGACTAAAATTTTTAACTTCCACTGACGAAAATATTCAATTGAAAAACGTTTCTTTTTTTGGATCAGATCAAAACTTCATTCACGTGTTTAAATGGTTGAAATTAGCTTGCCGCGCCTTTTTAGTGAATTTATTTAAATGTTGAATTTTATTTGAAAAATTTGAAGTGGAGTAGCTTGAAGTGCTTCTTTTGCAACGATTTTTTTGAAGCGATTCAGTTTTTGAAAAACCTTGAGTACTCAAAGTTTTTCGCTTTTGATTAGATTCCTTAAAAAATTTTTACAAATCTTTGAAAATCAATAGAATTTGTCGAAATTGAAAGTTTCATCTTTTGAATTTAGTTTGCCAAAGTTTGATTTTTTTTTGCGATTTGAAACAAGGATACTCAGGCTGTGCAGTTAGCTCAGAAATTTTCAACCAATGATAAAACAAATAAAAAGTTTTTTTTCTTTTCAAGTTTGTGCCGCATTTTTTTGTGAAAATTACAATACCCAATAATCTTCAATCTTTTATAAATTTTATGAAGCTATCGAAATTGACTATCAAAAGCTATGATTTTTTCATTGTTTAATTAGTTGAATAAATGGGTGAAATAAGATGCTTGATTTAGATATGCTATAAAACAAGGATAGCCGGTTGCTGTGCAAGTAGCACAGAATGTTCCGACGATGTTCTTTAAAAATAGAAAAAATCCAGGCAACGCTGACGCTGCGAAAATAGCGACAGTACACAAAAAAAACACCTTTTAACCATCGCTGAAGCTTATGCTATAATTGTATCTTCTGAACAATTTTTTCGTTTTAACAAAATTGCTTCTTCCGAATACACTTATAACCGCTCCGGTTAACTATTGCTGACATTTTGGTACTTTGTTCTACGTTTTCAAATGGTTTGAAAATGCCGCCGTGTAATTTGTACTCTCTCGCTGTAATCGAAAACAATGTGACTTTATGAAAAACTTATAAGTTTTAGTTTTTTGCATTGCTATTTGTGCGTTGAAGTAGAAAAGTATTTGTTGACGTTGATTAGTTTAAACAAAGACCATTTTAGACTCGTTTCAATTTTCGATTCAAACAGTCAGTTTGTATTTGTTTTGTTTTTTTGCTGATTTTAAAGCCAAAAACTGAGTCAATAATTCATACTTTGCTCACATTTTTTAAAACTCGTCGCTGAAAACGATAGCTTTAGACGTACAGAAATAGATCTTCGAATTGAAACCTTCAAATTAAAGTTTGGAATTTTATGAACAGTTATTTGAAGCGGCTCGTTTTTTGAATACTTGAGTCGACGAACTTTTGTACTAAGAGAATTGGGGTCACCACTTGATATCTGTTTATTGATTTTGATCGGTTATATCTTTTGACCTCACCGTCGTAACATGACTGACGGAGGAGGAGGAAGTGGGTCCTCCTCAAGAGTTCCCGGAATTGACCTTAGTGGTCTCTTGAATACTAGTACTGTAGTATCCCCCGACACCTCTGTGATTGCTGGATTCGGAATGGCGTCCCCGATTGAGGATACGACTGACTCGTCGGCTGCCTTCAACGACCTTCCTCGCAATATACGAAACATGAACAGAAGTAAGTTTTCAAAGATGTCCTGTTGTGAGTGTTTTTATTGGGTGTAGTGTATAAGTTATTGTTCCGACTTTCGAAGAAAACGGAATATTTATGCTCGGTGTGTTTTTTTTTATTCAGTCAATTTTCGGCGATCGAAATAATAGTTTTCAACAACACTTTTTTATTTTTTATATTTTATATCCTATTGAAGATATCGACTTCCTGAGTTCAAATTTAAAAATATATTTTACCTCCGATCATTTTTTGTAAAGTTCTGGGGGTTTGAAAATTGCCAAATTGGCCATGTTCTGGACTAAATTATGCGCGCTTCGAAGAGTTTATTCATAATTCTGAGAGCGTAACGCGAGTTATTTATGCAAGGCGAATTATCCCGCACAACAAAATCGTTCCGAATTGAATTGAGGCTAGTAATTGATCGTAATAATTTCGTATGACTCAAAATTTTACACTTTGATATTGTCCAAAAATTATAGGTTTTCAATATTTCTTTTCGTAAAAACTATTCGATATGAATTAAGGGACAGTCGGAACATTCAGGCCTTTGACCTGATATACGAGCAGTCTTGTTTCAAGTGCAGATTTCAAGGATCTTTGTCCCTCCGACCTTTGAAGAAATGCTTATGAAATGTTTGTGATTGAGATGATTTTTTTTACCGGACAATTTTCTGCTTTTCACTTTGGCAGTTTTTGACGGAGTTATTTATACATTATTAAGTATATTGATGTCCTGTGCTCAAGGTTAAAATGATACTTCATCTTGGATAATTTTTCGTTAAGTTATGGGGTTTGAAAAATGCCAATTTGACCATTTCAGGAGAACCAACGTGCGAAATATATATCGTTATATTAACGCATAAGCAGCGAATGAATACGACTCACAAATCATTTCAAAACATGAGGCAGGGGGCTAATCTCATGCGCGAAGGGCCGAATGGGCGAAAATTTCGTCAGCGGGGCACTGAAAACAAAATTAGCCGAAAGTCAATGTTTTAAAAACTTGAAATAAAAAATTTGTTCCAATTCGTCGGCGGTCAGTGACAATTTGAAAATTTTGCTTATTTTTGCGTATTTTTTATTATGCGGCTAATATCAATATTAAGTCCCTGGAAATATTTACTTCTTTCAGATTTTCACGTTTTTCAAAATTTTAGATTACTGAAATCTGATCGCTGATTTTTGTTTTCGCGCATTCGGTCCTTCGCATATGAGGGTTTCCGCCCATGAGGCATTGAGGCAAATTAATTGGTCTGATTAATAGAACACATTGAGTAGACGTTACTAGAAACGAAATATATCACTTTGTACTGGGACAGTAATTGAGTTCGGGAATATTTTCGAAAATTTGGGTTTTTTTTTGATTTTTCATCATTTTTTAAATCAAAAACTACTTAATAGAAGGAAGTTAAAAGGCGGTCAGAACCTTCAGGGTTTCGCCTCGATACGAACAATCTAGTTTTGTTTAACTAGAATTGTCGATACAAAACTTGTTTTTGTTACTTGTGAGACTTGTCAGTTCACCCAAATGTTTTTTTTTCAACCATATGTAACAAGGGTTTCTAACACAACTATCGTATTCCTTATTTCATATATGAGAGACTAGGTTTTTTCTTTGAGTTTTCGGGAAAAGAAAGATAGTCGGGCAATTCTTCATGTAATTTAGTGTGCATAAATCTTACATATAGTAATATTTGTGAGCTAAAACTAGAACCGGTTTTGTAACTTGTAAATTGCTAACTTACCTCTGAATTTTGGGTCCAATGGTGTCTGTTAAAAGGTGAAGTGGCGCGCACTATAATAGGTGGTTTTAATAATTGATTACTAATGAATATTAAATTAAAGTGAATATCAAATTTGTCATGGGGATGTAATATGAACTGTATGGCTCTCTCTTCGCTGCCTAGTACATAAACTGCTCAACCGTGACTACATAAATGTAATTGTGTTTTCGTTGTGAACAAAGTGACCCAAAATGGCCAGAAATTGTACCGTGGTTTTCTGGACCCAGTTCGATATGTAGGTAACTTTTGCGATTGAAATGCAATTAATTCGCTACTGCTTCGCGCCAGCTCTGAACAAATGATTTCTAGCACGGTCTCTCTAGTGCTCTGCTTGGGCGGGTCGAACTGACAAGGGTCTAAAAACAGAATTCATAGTAAGCAGAACGGACAAAAGGTAGAAAACGGTTAAACATCTTTATCAGCTACTTTATCTGTGTTTGTATTATGTAACCAACCCACAGTATATTCGTTTTAAGTAGAGAAAGTATATTTGGAAATTTTCAAGGGCGGTGGGCCAAATTCAAAAAAGGCTGAATGATCAATTTATGGAAAGCAGTTAATTGAGGGGTCAAGTTTGTAGGTGTAGTGTTAGCAAATTCAAATGTATTGCAACCATTTTTAATGGTCCAGAAATTGTTGCGTGAAGCCAAAGTTCAATTGATAAGTGATTGTTTTGCGGCCAAGTCTTTTCTTTGAGTTATCTGCTGAAAGCACTGTTTTCAGACTGCCGCAGCGGTGTGGGTTTGCACCATGCAATATGAGCAATAGCTTTGTAATAGGAATAAATAAAATTATTTGCGTTGATTCCGTCGCCGCGGAAAAGGTACAACTGTGTTATGGTACTTCTTTGCAATTTCGTCTGCTTCCCAGCTTCTATGGGGTGGTCGACTGAGCCGATCAGTATAACTCTGACTACTGGGCTCTTTCTCTCTTCTAATCGGGCTCACTTTTCTCCTCTCTTCTGTTACTTTCTCTACCCTCATTAGATAAAAGATAAGATTATACAACAGCAAGATAGGGTTTCTAAATTTAACCTTGACAAAGCCCCCACTACGACGAACACTCACTGGACCGATTAATTCACTTTTATTCAAATTTAGGGGACGCTTTGATCTTATGACGCAATAATATTTTTTGTAATCTACGAGACAAAAATTACTAGACTGTGAACTTTTTTGGTATTTGATATCATGTAATCTCGGCTTGGAGCTGTCCAACTTTTTATGTATTCTTTTTAGCTTTCATTATTAAATCAAAATTCTGGATGCGTTTCTTTCAATTTTATGAGCTTTTCCCCCTGTCCAAATGTTTTTGCATTTCAAGTATTTTTGCTACAATCAAAACAGCGCTGGCATGTTTACACTCATAATACAGTCACTTCTTTCTTACAGATCTAACTTTGTACTTGTACATTGAAAGGTTTGTTTAAAATCAGATAGATACCCCCTTGGGTTTAAGTCAAGTGGGATAGGATTACCAGCATAGACTGAGTACAGGGAGCAGATCCAGTGGTAAGAAACAGTAGGTAATGAAGCAGAGTTAGTTTATCTTAGTCTGACTGACTCAACTAACGTGGATTGGCAGGTTCATTCGAAGGTGGATAGAAAGCAATAAAAAGACAGGCAATCTAATAATAAAACCGCCCAAATGGTCGAGACCTTGAAGAGATACTGTGACCATGTGGCTGAAAATCAAAGGAGTTTTTGAAAACTTATAAGAAATAGTTGCCGTTCGCTGTTGTTTAACGAGGAAGGTTCAGATCGCAGTGATTTTTCTTTGTTTTCCGAAGTGTTTCTCGTTTTTTTTTTTGCACATTTGAAGGAAGTGGGCTGAAACTAAGCTTAGAACAAATTACAGATGTCTTTATCAGCGTATAAAAACATACTAAAGCCACTTGCACTAGCCACTCGCTTACATGATAAAAATAAAAAGTTTAAAAAAACAAGAGTGACTCTCTCGATCTTAATTCGAAAGATAAAATTTAAAAAAAAAACAAGACTGCTCGTATATCAGGGCAGAACCTTGAATGTTCCGACTGTCCCTTAATTTATATCGAATAGTTTTTGTGGAAAAAAATATTGAAAACCTATACGTTTTGGACAATATCTAACCCGCATCCAGTTTCAAGCGTTAATAATCGATTATAAAACGATTTTAGTGCCAGTCTTACAAAAACTTAGAAAAAAATTGATTTTAATTGATTACTAATCGATTATGATCTTTCTTTTTGAAATCAAATATAATCAATTATAATACATTATAATCGATTTTTCTATCCGGATTTTTAACTCATTTGTTTTGCAGAAAAAATCCATTTTAATCGATTATAATTGTTTATAATCCCTTTTGTTTGCCCATTTTGTCTTCCGCCTGGCACCTGAATTGCTTATATTTTATGCTTTTTGTAGACGTTGGTTTCTGTGAAAAATGAGAAATTGTTTAACAGTTTTAAAATCGATTTACATATTTTAACGTTTTTTTTTTTCATTTCTTCTTGATTTTAGTTGTTTCATGATGCCCATTTTAACTTTTTTCACCCCCAAACTATCAGCACACAGCTTTAGTTTCATGATTTATATAGAAGAATTATATTTCACCTACCGCAGGATTCTTTCAACTAATATGAAGGGATCTCTATGAAATTTTTGTTTCGTGGTAAAACTTTTGTTCAAATGAACCAAAGAAAGACAAGACTTCTCACTCTTAGAGATTTTTGACAGAAAAACTGATTGTAATCTTTTATAATAGATTATAATAGGTTATAAGAGATATTCGGAAAAATTATAATCAATTATAATTGATTATGATTTTATATAATGTCACAAAAAATGTTATCATTATAATGAATTATAATTCGTTTAAACATCTAATTTTGGCTTACAATTAAATAAAATTTTGATAGAAGTACAATTCTAATTGTAATGTAATCGATTTTTTTCTTTTTTTACTGAGTGCGGAAACTGTAAAATTTTGAGTCGTACGAAATTAATATGACCAATTAGCTAGCCTGAATTCAATATGAAACGATTTTGTTGTGCGGGATAATTCGCCACGCATGAATATTTCGCGTTATGCTTTCAGTATTATGAATAAACTCTTCAAAGCGCGCATAATTTAGTCTAGAGCATGAAAAGTTCGGCTATTTTCAAACCCTCAGAACTTTACAATAAATGATCGGAGTGAAATATCTTTTGACATTTGAACTCAGGAAGTCGGTATCTTCAATGAAGAATAAAAAAATTTTGCTGAAAATTAGTAATTCGATCGGTGAAAATTGACTGAATAAAAAGAACCACTCCGAGCATGAATACTCCGTTTTTTTTTCGAAAATTATAACAACAAGAGTGACTCTGTCGATCTTCATTCGACTAGAACGCCAAAATTTGTAACCGGTTTTTCGCAACCGATTTTCTTTGGAAAATCAAGAGTAAATTTACTGGATCTTGTTAACTATTCCCCCCCCCCCCCCCCCTGTTTCCATTTTCAGAAATTCAACTTTGGCTGTCACATTTTCAATAGCTTAAGGCAGTTTTCAGAAAATGTATTTAAATAAATTTTTTTATGTAGGTACTATATAAATAGTAGCTAATACAAATACGAAAGAGCGAAAATAAAAACCCAATTAATTTTTGACATTTTTGAAATGCATATTGTATACAGAAATTTATGTCAAAAATAATACATGCATAGGGGAAATAGTTAACAAGGTCCAAAAGGGGGGGATTAGTCGGTCTATAATGCGACCCTAAAAGAGTTTATTTGTCTTATTGGATCTACTTAACAATCTCCCCCCCCTATGGTATCTACTAAAGAATCTCCACCCCTACAAATAAATACAGTAAATTAGCACAAGAGCTTGTATTGAGAATTCGAATCTTGCTGCAAGTGGGATTTTCATGAAGGTGGGGGGGATTGTTAAGTAGATCCGCCGTATTCAGTTTTGCATGAGAAAAAACAACCGAACTTATTTTCAAACCTTGGTCGGATTTGTCAGAACAAAAACAAGACTTAACTAAATAATCCGCTTAGAGCATGGAAATATTTAACGTTCTTTTTCGTATCATCTATGACTGATATCTAAAAGATTTTGAGATATTAAAAAACTCGTTCACTAAGTTGATTCTAAGCCTTGCCAACCTTTTTCAACAAGTGACTCTTCAATAGTTATCGAAGTTATGAATAAACTAATTCTTTTTCGGCAATTGATGTGGCGTGCTAATTGAGCGTTGTATTCAAAGTTTTCTCCCCTCTAAAGCAAAATATTTTGGCTTATCTGTGAACTAAATTGAATGTCTGCAGACACCAAATAATTTAAATAATCACTACAGTAACAGACTACCTTGGGATGCGGGGAAGTGGAAGTTCTGCAATTTCTTGCAGCAGAAATAAATCAATCATTTCTGTCTTTTGCCCTCTAACTGCGAATTGATTTGCTGTATTGCAGACTTAGAACCGTATTTTACTTCGTGTATTGTGCAATACTAAAAAGTATTTCATATCTCATCGGCTCTTTGAATCAAACTTTTTTGCGAGGGTTTGGTGTGGATTCATAAAATTTTTCGATAAATGTGCCGCAAATGCCATATTTGTTCACTATATGGTTTTTGCAACTAAAGTTGCTTTTTTGACGCAAGCTCTTCGCAAAGTTACCCTTTATTGGTGCCAAAGGTGCCTTTTTTATTAATAAGCTTTGGCCGACGAAAATCATGCGTCGGACCAATTCCGCTCCTGACACCAATAATAGTTTTTTACCCATGTTAAAAATTCCATAAGATGATTTTACCAATTCTAAACTATAGCTTAGTTGCCCTTATCTTGTAAATTTTATTTCTTGAAAATTAGCATGAAGCTTTGCTGTTTTTTATAGCGGTCAGGAAATGTCATTGAATTTTTCCATGATTCTTAATTCGCATCTGTATTCATGCCGAGTTGAATTTGAAAGAAAGTACACTTAGTTATGTGTGATATTCGCAATGCAGTATGCTACTAGCTCTGTTGGTTATGAAAAATTCTCACTTAAAATACTCCCCTAAATAGACCAAAGAAAGTTCTTCCGGCCCTCTGTCTGATTTAAAACAAGTATAGCCCACAAGTGGCACAGAATATTTCGACTACTTAGATATAAGAAAAGAAATTCAAAAAAATCCAAAATCTCAAGAAAAAAAAACAATTAATTTTTTTTCACTTTTTTTCATTGTTCGTGTGCAATTCCTGTTAAAGCGCAAATTCATTAGGTGAAAAAAATACAAAATTGAGCTGTTGTAACAGCTAAAAAAATTAAGATCGAAATTGTTAGACAATAAAATTTGAAGGTCATTCGTTATTTTTTTTCCTTTGGACGAGGAATAAGAAAAATAGTTTTTGATATATCTATACAAATCTGAATTGGTCTCTATGGATTACCTTTTTCCTTAATGTGTCCACGAAGAATTTTACTGGCATAAAAGCCTTGTAGCACTATGAGTTTTTATAGTTTTCAAATTTATTTCACACAGGTTATGAAGAAAAGCGACAAGTTCGATTCAGAAAAAGAACCTTTGAATGATTTGCCAATTTTTTGTATGCGGCATTTTTGGAGGCTGACAATAAACAGTTTTGGTTATCTATTAAATGAATAATTCATTATTTTATTTTTGGGCTAGCCTCATAGGTACTGAATTTTTTTATAGAGTACAAGCATCGTTTGGAAGAGCGTGAAAATGAGATCAAAATACTCCGCAAGCAACTGAACGAGGAAACGCGAATGCTCAAATACGAGTACGACGGACTTCTAGACGCCGAACGGCGAAAAGCTAAGTCGGATTTGACCGACTTGAGAAGCAGTCTTGAAAAGGCAAAACGAGAGGAAATAGAGCGAATGAAAGAAGATTTGAGAGCGAAACACGAACAGGAAATGGCCAAGATAAAACGCCACACGCCGACAGTTAAATCAGCCGAAATGTACGAGAAGAAGAAAGCGGACTTAGAAAAGGAAATACGGATGGACGTGAAACAAGAAGCGAGAAAAGAAGCGGAGAAGGATTTCGAGAGTTTGAAGGTTTTTTCAAAAAGTTGATTAAAAAGTTTTTCCTACTATAGGTCTCCTGTTTACATGAGAAAAAACTGCACGCAAAGTGTTATATGGTTTGTTCAGCTTTTTCATTCTCAAATTGCACAAATAAGTGCTAAATGTAGGATGTACTTTATCCGCAGCGTAAGGACGCAGATGTGCTAACATTAAAGTCTAATTCTGGAGGTGCGAGGTTTGAATCTTGTAGAGGATAAATTTTTGTAATCTCAAGGCCAATTCACTTATTTATGCGCTTTTTTGCAGTTTAACGCTCCCGTTTGCCATTTTTTGTTGCTTGCGAGGACCTGATCGCTTTTTTTACTTAGTGGCTTTCGTCTAATTTTTCTGTCGGCGAGCTTACCGGGCTATGTTAGTGATGCATTTCAAGTTTTTTTTTTCGACGGGACAGCAAGAAAAAACTTTGTATTTTTTTTCAGCGATGAAAAAGAAAAATAGGTTTTTGACTTCTGAAATCGTGGGTTTGTTTCTTTAGGATAATCTGAAATAAAAAGAGTTCACGTTTTATTGAAGCTTTTACCCTTGTGATAATTAAATATCTAACCTGATTAGAGGAAGCTTGCGAGGGGTTCTTGAGCTAGATTTGTAGATATAAATAGAAAAACTAAAGGACTTTAATCGATAAAGGATGTCGTTATCGAAACAGGAAACCATCAAAAAAATGTAACTCACTTTAAAAAATAAAGGATACTCAAGAATTTTTTTGAAGTCAATTTGACCTTGTTCATTTTTAACTGTTTATTTCAAATGTATCAATTATTCTTTATAACGAAACCATTAATGGAAAAGAAATATTGAAGGCAAGGAAAGGTATTCTCGTTTGATTATTTTACTAGAACAATTGTCTTAAATGTAATTAATATAAAGCCTTTTATTTAAAAAAATAAAAGGAGGAGGATTATTTAATTTTAACTTCTAATGAATAGTTAAAGTTGATTTCATTTTGACATTGTTACTGTCATTCGCCTTAGTAATTTATTTATCAGTGTTGTTTTCAATGGCATTAGTGTAAGTAAAATATAATCTGCAGTTGAGGCTGTGCTGCATAACGTGGAAGCAGTTGAAACGCTTGGCCAAATTTTAACGTCCTAGTCGCTAAAACGGTCACAAATATGATGCACTTCATTTGAAAATATTAAAGCCGCTTAGTCCAATTAATTCGTTAGTTAGTGCTTCAGATTCTCATTAAAAACGTTTTTTGAATGATAAAGTTTAATATTAATGTCAGAAGTGAAATAGATCAACGTGTTTCCGACTTTTTTCACATAATGGTACTTTTTTAGGTTTTTGTTCACGCGCTGGTACCGTTTGCTCCAAAATTTGCAGAAATATATTCGGAAGTTCGGTCGTGCAGTTTCATTTTTGACCTTATCCTGGCCATTAGTGTATTCTATTTGTGTAATGGTTGAATAAAGCTTTAATGAAATGTTCATAATATTTACGCTGGCGATTAACAAGCGTTATCAAATCGGAATGTAGGCTTTTTTCGGGTTAACAACTAGCTTAAAAAAATCAGTTGAATCACTTATGATGCTGCAATGCTCAATTTCATGAAAGTTCAAATTTATCTACTGAATGGGTACTAGTTATTACAGGGTACTTTCAGGGAGACTTGAAAGTTTTTTACAAAATCAGTTTTTTTCGGCTCAAATGATGTCTGCTCAACGATTGTCGGCCTTGTTTCCGCTTTTGTAAGTTTTGGTCAGCTGCTAATTTGATTTCAAATGTCTTGCTTGGCATTTTTGCTTATAATTCCTGTTTGATAAAAACTGGTATTATGAAATTGTATGGGATTGGGTTTTTTGTTTTATTTTTTTTTGAGACGCTTTAGACAATTTTATCATTTTTTGCAAAATAATAGTTTTCCTCAAAAACTCTTCTACTGATTTTCAAAAAAAGGTATCGATAGAAAGGCCGCTTACATTCTTGTCTGCCTGTTTACTCCCCTGGTCTCATTTTGCTTTACCTCTTTGTCTACAGCCTTCGAAAAAGTCTGTGAGCGGAATGTTTGACCAATATTTTGTTAAATTTTGTTTTTTTTTCTCAAAAACTGATCTTCCAAATCTGAGATTATGGTTTTGATAAATAGAACGGATTTTAAAAGCTCCTCTTTATAAGCGACTACTCCCAAACTTTTTCTACACATGTAACTATGGCCCTCGGAATAGTCAAGTTTTTGATTTTTTAATCGTTAATTGAATCTTCTTCAACTGTTCTTTAAAACTAACCTGCTAAATTTGAGGTTGTGAGTTCAAAAGAGATAACAGATAATGGAAAGATTTCCTGCATTAGTGGCCACTCAGAATTTTTTCATAAAAAATTATCGTCCTCGGAAAAGTCAATTTTTTGATTTTTTTAAGCGTTTTTTTTATGTTTTATGATTTTTACCGTAAATTCCCTCCTATGTCTGAGCTTTTGTTCTCAGTCCAAAGAACACGTTGCCTAAAGCTTTGCATACGTGACTAAGCCGAAGTTTTTTTGACACAAAAAAAATCATGGTCCTCGGAAAAGTTAAAAACTTGATTTTTCGATCGTATTTTGATACTGTTTCATTTTTCTCGAGAACTAACCTGCCAAACCTGGTTTTCTGGTTCAATCGAAATTTGCAGGTTAGGCGAATCTCTTCTGCATAAGCGGCTCTGTCAAATATCTTAAAACAAAAGCTATGATTCTCGGAAATCGTATTTTTTTGATTTGTTGACCGTTTTTTGGACTTTTCTCGATAACTATACTGCCAAATCTGATATCAAAGTTCAATCGAAAAAAACAGGGTGTTGGAAGCTTAACTTTATAACATGCTAAGCCCAGTTTTTTTAGAAAAACTTCCTGGTTTTCAAACAAGTGAAAGTTTTGAAACTTTGACGTTTTTTTTAGAAGTTTTTCCGACTCTGCTCAAAAATTACCGTGCCGAATCTCTGGTTAAGTGTTCAATCGAAAAACTTGATTTTTGGAATATTCTCTAATTTATCGGCCAGGACCTGCTTTGAGCAGAAAAAAGTTACGGATTTCGGAAAATCAAGATTTCGAATTTTTTACCGTTTTTTAAAAACTTTTCAAATTTTCTTAAAAACTATTTCATCTTTTCCCGCAGAAGTGGCTGCTCCCTAATTTTTGTAAGAGAAAGGTTTGGTAAAATTCCAAAATCTCAAAATTTTTTAGTCTTCCATTTAATTTATTAGAGAAACAACTAAGGTTTTGGGCGAAGTCCAATTGTTGAAAAGACGTTTTTCGTCCCGCATCAGTTTATCCCGTTCACCTATTTTTTTCATCATTTTCTTCTTCGTTTTTTCGTCCTATGATTTTTTATGATTGTGTTGTAGCGCAAGTGGTGCGAAGCGCCGCTTCCCCTCTGTGTCGAATATGTGTCAATACTCAGTACAAAGTGATGATTGTTCAGTTTGCGAGCGCTCTTCACTTATGTTTGATTCTCTTCCTTCAATGGCTGATCTGATCTCTTCAACATAATATCAATGAATCAATTTATTTGTATGAGCCATTTTTCAATTAAACTGACTTGAGTGCGACATTCTGAAATTGCGTCTGTTATGCAATTTTGCAGCTTGACTGCTAGAATTTATTAGTTTGTGTAGTTATTTACTTTTTGATTTTGCGAAAATTGTTGTGAAATGGAACATTACCAATTTTTCTGCTGAAAAGTTATTTATTATTAATTAACTTTTCATATCAAATAAATTTTCTTAAAAACAGGTTTAATTACATGCTCGATGTGATTTCAGGACAAGTTGGTGACTGAGAATGCAGAGCTGTATTGTCAAGTGAAGGCATTGCAGACTCGACTGGCTCAGGTAAATCAGCAGGAGCGCCATAGACACAATGACTGGATGTCCCTGCTGGACAAACACAACCGCGAGATCAAGAAGATCAAACGCATCGCAGACCAGGACGTCAAGTCACTGGTTAGTCATCACAAAACAACCAGCCAGGGGTGGATTTAGGGGAGGGGGGCGGACGCCCCCTCCCCAGGGATTCGAACCCTGCCGAGCCAAAGAAGTCCCCCTTTGGTACTTTTTAAGAAATCCATTTTTGGTGACGGATCCTAAAGTTTTTCTAAAGGCGACTTCGGCGCCAATATATACTTTCTTTGAGGGGGAGCGCGCGCCCAAAAAACGCGATTTTTTTGTCAGCATTTTCCAAAAAGTGCCCAAAAACGGCTTTTTTGACCTGTTTTTTAAAAATTTTCCCAAATCAGCGTCTTTTTACTGCTCTGGAGAGCTCCGAAAATCAATTCGGTCGACCTGAAAAAAAAACGATTGTCGAAACTTTCGGAAATTTTTTGAAAATCCGCCCCACCCCCCCCCCTCGAGAAAATCCTAGATTCGCCCCTGCAAACAGCATCTATTTTACCACCCAAATAATCAGAAGATCCAGTGGATAATTATACTGGAGAACAACCTCCTTACTTATCATCAAAACAGAAAACTATCGATCCTCCTGAAACAAAATTGAAAAACCGTAGTCATAGATTAAATGTTACAAAGAAAGAAAAAATGTCTCCAGTCATCAAAACTAATCCTTGGAGTGAGACTCGGATAGGATAGACAATGGTGCCATATAACCCATAAACGCCCACCATAGCTATGTATGCGTTTCTTTCACTATCAGGAAAAGTGAAAAGAATTTTTTCTTAATTTTCTTTTTGGAAGACTCAAAAATGTCTTCAAAATATCTTCAAAAAAACGCGCTTCTGAAAGGTGAAGTTTTGGCATTAGAAACGGAACCTTAGCGTACAACCCACAAGCAGCTGCGGGTAGAATTTTTTTTTTATTCCGACCCTTTGAAAAATGTGGAGGAACTTTGTATTCGGGTGTTTTATTTTTTTTTTCCAGCAAAATCAAGTACTGGAACCAGTTCTAAACTATTGTTTATAAACCAATTATATTATTGATAAATTATCGATATAAAATATTACTAACTAACCAATCATATTCCATCTCTAACATTGACACTTATTTGTAAGTGCTGAAACTACTTGTAGTTTCAGCACCAGAACAATTTGAATAAAACTTTGAATACAGTTGTTCTCCTTCTGTATAAACTCCAAGAACTAGCTCGCATAAACCAGTATAGACTTGATCTATTGAGACTAGGAGATATAAGAGTAAGATTAAGATCGGTATTAGACAAAGAAGTTGCAGGAATCTATCCGACCGAAAATAAGATAGCGTGACGAGCAGACGGTGTACTTTATCTGAAATTACTCTATGAGTATAACCAATAGGTCATAGCTCATCTGGTGCGACCAGAAGTCTGGAACAAGACCTTAACTAGTTTAGAATTGGACAATAGGACTTAGAATTAGACAATTGCAAATTGCAAAAATGCTAGACGCAATAGATAATTTAATAGAAATGTCTCTACGTCTCAATAAATCTACGCAAATTTTCCAAACAATACAAGAAATACCAGGTATTGAAAGAAGACCAAGATCATGGCGTCAAAAAAGATCAGGAAACGGAACACTCTACTACATGATAGTAAGACGGAAACCTGAACAAGTTTTTGTATTTAGAATACTTTATGTAGTAAAATTTAAATTTTGATTTATTGACATGAAAATTATTTGAAGAACAATTTTTCTACAAGCTTCTTGGTGCTAAATCTACTATCTATACAATAACGACTGATAAAAAGAGCACAAATCTGCAGTGAATCAAAAATTTTGAATAAATAATTTATCGAATAAGAAACACAAAAATTAAAAATCATTGTTAGTTCTATAAATTAACACATAATTTTCCTCATCACACATTCATCACCTAAAACATTTCAGCAAAAATTGAAAAACTAAAATCATCTAAGCTCTAACTTTTGAATTTTCTTAAACTTAAACCTACATTAAAACTTATCAGGGCTTATCCTTGCTTTCCATATTTGCTTTTTCTTTCATAAACAGATCATCAAGGCTTCCCTTGGATCTTTAATTTCGATTAAACCTAAATTTAATAAACTTTATTACTGATCATCAAGGCTTTCCTTGGATCAAATCAGAACAATTTTGTTCTCCCCTTCCCATAATTTTAAAAGTGTCTAACGGCTTCAAACGTCGATTCACTACCCAACCCTTATAAACGACCCAGGACTAATAGAAATAATTGAAAAAGTAAAATTTTAATAAAGCTAAACAGTGAAGAACTTCGGTTACTCATCCTTCACTTGAGTACTCATCCTTCACTTGAGCCCTTCCTCTTAGATGACCCAGGCTAAAACCCTTGAAAATTAGTGAGTCATAGAATAGTATCTAACGATCTGCCTGTGTTCTAATTATACCTGAACCTTGTGGATTGATTTACTATTCCCCAACCCTCGATCACAAATCACAAACCCTAGGTAAGATTAAGTAAGTAACTCATAGATTAAAACCTATTCACGAGAAAGTAAAAAATCATTCTCACGAATTGTTATACTCTCTCTCTAACCCGTCAACCACGACAATCTATGCCTAAGAACTAACAGTTTAAGAAAATAAAATTTCTAATCCCCAAATATTGCATCCGTCATCCTAAACCTTATGTCAAGAGATAATCTAGGCAGTAAACAAACAATCGTATTACATAATTGCTTAATTAAAAACGATAGATAAGATCTTGTAATCACACCGTACAGACAACCAATGGGATATATTAGGTCTAAAAGACAAACACGAAAAAAAGACAATCATAACAAAACAATAGCAAATTATCAAAAAACGATTTTCAAAACGACGAAACGCAGTCTCTGAATCGGAAACAAACACAATACAGGAACTTCAAGACTGAAAAGATTGAATAAAAAAAATAACTCGATAGACGACTAAATATATTTTTCTGACTAAGCTGCTACACCATCATCAATAAAAGGAAAACGCAAAATGAAAAAGTCATATATCAACAAACCAATACGTCTATACAATTGGAATCAACCAATAAGACATATTGAATGTTACACACTAACAGTTCTACAATATAAAACACGATCGAATACAACGAAAATTTTGATGATAAGTCGATACTCCCAGTTTTTATAAAATAACAAAATGATCCCGCCCGAGGACAAGTACAATTTAGATACAATTTAATTGTAAATTTGTTTGAAAAATTAAATAGCCCCTGTAAACAAGAATTTCCTGAAGTAAGAATAAAACGACAAATCCTTGACCACTATCTCAAAGGTATATGTAAAATCACCTCAAATTACGGTGTATTTACAATTGAAATTGTATCACCAAAACCAAATCACACTACACATCAAATACAAACAGACGATATAGATATTGAATTCTCGAAAGTTTTCACAGACTAAATAAAAAATATACAAACCCAAAATTCACAGAGAGCAAATTCTAAATTCACAAATGTTGTTTTTTCACTTATCTAGAGCTATCTATCTATACTAGAAATGAAAGAAACACAAAATGAGTCACCAACTCAAACATCACGACATTCAACTGTAAGACAGGAAATCTGTATTTGCTCAAAATTTTTAAATACAATCCGTGAAAACTTCATTAGTAACGAAATCTCACCAATTGTTAAACATGATCTACAAACGAAACTAGCATGGTTAATAATTGATTATTTTGTCCATAACGTTGATCTCATAGCACTATCAAGAAAAAGTTTTCGACCACAAAATTCAGACGATCAAACTGTATTAGCAGATGAAACAGATCATGTTTGGGACCCTGATTGGTCTCATCCATTATTTATTGATATACCAACTGATATATCAAGTCATTCAATATTGATATACCAACTGATATATCAAGTCATTCAATCACCACCATTTCCATCAATAAAGACTACGTTAGATTAACACCACTTACTATTGATGCAACACCTTTAAATTACAATGCAATTTTCACTGACAGAACAGGAAATAATAGCTTAAACTCCACATTCATTAATACACAAGAAACTTTAAATGGAACAAGAAATCTTACAGAACAAGATATTCATTAACGACGAAATTGTCGAAACAATGCCAACAACAACGCAACAAAGCATTTCCCCCATTCATCCTACACTTACAACTCCAAAAAATAAAAATACAGCATTCTCGCAAACAACTATACAATCTACAGTAAAACCTTCTGTTATTCCGAAATACTCACATATGGATTATCAAATATTTAAACCAGTAACGACATCAAGATAAACAAATAAACAAAAAAACGTCTAATAGAAGCAACTTTTCAGACCATAACTATAACTTTTTTTTGCAAAATCCACAAAAACCCCCTATACGAACAGTCAAAATCAATCCTTTTGAAGATGCGATAACTTATTGAGCAAATTTGCAATGTTTTAAACTATCCAGACTTTGAAAAATACCACCAATTCTGGATTTAGGAACCTCAAAGTCGGAAAGAAAGAACACGGCCAGTAAAAGGCATTTTCGAAAGTTCTTAAAGTGTTATTAAAGACGTTCTTAAAGTGTTATTCGAAGTGTTATTAAAGACATCCGCTCAGAAGAACCTCGCAAAATCTAGTTGGTTGATGGCATGTTCTTCTACGCAATTCTTTTTTCTTTGTGATTTTTCAATCTAATCTGCATTAATCAGAGTTCAGGCATTAAAAACATTATAATTGCACAAGTTCAGCGGAAAAATTTAGGATGCGGTCGGGGAAAAGCTTTCTGGTTTGACGAGGCTTGGGATCTGATTTACAATGCCGGATATAAGAACAGCAAACTTCTGTTACTACTCAGTGGAGCGCAAAAACGTCGGCTATGAAAGCAGTTTATCAATGAATACTGTTTCGTGCAACTGACCCTCTCCGAGGAGGATGGTACACACTGATAATGATCTTTTCAATCAGCTTTGTTGGCCAATACAATTTAGGCTTCATCTATAGTCTTTTTTGAAAAGAACGTGTACTCAAGCTCGTTTGAAAAAATAAGAGGCTTGTTGAAAAAATAAGTTATTTATGTTCATTTTGTTGAGTTTGTCTGTCGTGTTGACAGTGATGTTCATAATGCAGTGTGCCATTTTTTGAATGACTTTTAAAATACGGTGTAGGTCCTGTGGCCCAATGGATAAGGCATCTGACTACGAATCAGGGGATTGCAGGTTCGAGTCCTGCCAGGATCGAGGGTTTCGTGTTTTATTCGCTCACTCAACCAAACAGCTTTGGTGGTTTTAAAATCTGTTAAATTAATGGCTCTTCTTCCTCCCCCCCATCATTTTATTGGTGTAACGAGTGATTTTACAGTTTAAAATGAAGACTAAGTATGTTTGTCAGGCCCTATTTAGCCGGCATGCCAATTTTTGTGACAATCGGACAATTTATACAGAAAAACTACTGTGAAGTTTTGCAGGTAAGGGGGGGGGGGGGTGGTGGAAGGAAAAAAAGCCAAATTGATTGTTACGGAGAAAGACTTGCTGTTGTACACTTGTTAGAATGGTGCAATTCTCCAATGCATCGATTTTCTCACCTTCAACCTGCCGTTTATAAGTCGGTCAGAGGGCTCATCAACTTTTGTGGGAGTTTTTTGGGCTCTTTTCCAGCCCCCCCCCCTTTCAAATTCAATTCTGAAAAATTGATTCAACGTTATCATAATGCATTGAAATTTGGCGTGGTGAACAAATCGACAACTGTGAACAGATTTGTTCTTCATACTTTACAGCGTAACATCACGCATTTAGCCGTAATAACACGTAAAGCAACCAAAAAAACTCGATATTTCGAAAGGGGGGACTGGAAAAGAGCCGTTTTTTGGCTTTCGGCTTCATAAAATTGTTGATTATTCTGTTGGTCATAAATTGTTGATCATAAATGTATTGATTATTCTGCTTCATCTAGGCTCTGGAGATTGAGGGCAAGAACAAATACATGAAGTTTCTGGAGAAGGAACTGTCGACTACTGCCAGCGGGGACTTTGTGGGAGAGATGCGGAAACACTTTCTGGAGGGGAGGCCAGAGGTGAACATAGAGAGGATGAAGCAGTTCTGGGAGAGGAAACTGCATGCCAACCAGTCTTCGCTTCACAATGCACCTGCTCCGCCACCTCAACCACCCAAGTGAGTACTCATATTTTTTCACATCTTACGTCCATTTTAAAAGCTCATATCGGGCGAAAAACACCCTATAAACTTTTTAATAAAAATTTTTGGATATCAGCAAGGTTTCAAACTAATTTAGAGAGCGGCGATTGATTAGCGATTATGCGTTGTAATCTAGAGCTCGCTTGTTCGAGACTTGATATGAGAGGCAATAGTTCCAAAGCGGAAAATAAACAAAAGCATGGCAGTTGTTTGTAAGAGCCACCAACAGAGCCCTGCATGCGTTGAGTAACTCTTGTCTTATTATCTTGATTTTTCGAATAAACGGTCCTAGGATCTAAGATTAATTATTTCAATGCACATACCCGATTGCGATTGAATATTTAATTCAGATGTAGATATCACAAATGCGAGTGACCCCAATAGGAAGTGGTCGTGATGTGGCTTATTTATGAAATATTTCACTGTACAGGGAGGTGACGTCCAAACCGGATTCCTCTGCTGTGTCCAGGAGCGAGACAAACAGGATCAAGACTCTCAAAATGGATCTCATCAATTCGCAGAAGGAGAGCACCCACCTGAAGGCAGCTCTGCAGTCCCTTTCAGCACAAGTCGCTTCATTGGGAGGCACGCCGTTTTTAATGCTATAAGTTCGAAAAAGGCAAAATAGAGATCGAATTTGGTGAAAAGTTCAGGAATTTAAATTAAGTAACTAATTAAAATAACTAAAATAAAGAAACCTTCGAGCGTTTGAAAAACTTCTATCCTTCGAGCGTTTGAAAAACTTGAACCTTGAGGTGTTGTAAAAGTTATAGTCTTGAAGCGTTACAAATTATAGTCTTGGGGTTCTTTCAATTTATAACCTTGAGGTGTTGAAAATATAAATCTTGAGGCGATTTAAAAGATACAGCATTGAGGTTTTTTTTATTATTATAGCCTTGCAGCTTTTTATATATTATTTTAGATGGTTTTGAGGCTTTAGATTTTACAATATTGAGGCTTTTTGAAACGAAGATACTGGCTAGAACTAAAATGTTTTTATTCAATTGTTCGAGGGTAGTTCGATCCCGCGATAAAATCATCTCCGATGCGTTCGAGGATTCCCCTTAGACAAAATTGTAAAAAGAGGTGTTTTTACTGTTAATTCTTGAAAATGTAATCCATAGCTTGACTCTGTAAAATAAGGCGGGTGGTGACACAATTTAAATGCAGGTTTTTAAATGCTTTATAAAATTTTTTTGACGTTTTGATTGCAAGAGTGTTCATAAAATAGACCATTATTGCAATGAATTAAATATAATAACTATTCTCAAAACTCTTGCCATGGTATTCATTGTTATTTTTCCTTGTGAAGACAACTTCAAAAGATAATGATACCACAGTGCTGCTCCGACTGTTTAGATACGCCGTGTGTCTCGATGGCTGAAGTCATCAAAGCCTCTGCTCCAGTCACTTCCAGTCAAGGTCAAGTCACTCAGGAGAACAACGTGGAACTCACTGCTATCAATGAAGAGTTTAATCAATGTATTCAACAACTGAAGGATGCAGTTAAGGTGCGTGTTTTAAAAGCCCAAAAAAGTAGCCTTTTTATTGTAAATCTGGAATGTATAATTGTTGCTGGTCTTTATTTTTGTAATATCGAAGCAATTATTCCAACTTAATCGCACTATTTCGTGATGAAAGAAGCTGTTCTGGCAAAGCTTTCCAGGAAAATCTGATAATACCCACTGGAAACACGGCCCAACCCAGAACGGCTCAAACTGGGTCTTAAACTAGCAAGTTAATTTATCCAAAAAAAAAATAATTGTTTAATGAGTTTTGAAAATGGTAAAAATGAATAGAATTTCTTGCTCGTGAAGTGTCAAAAAATGTGGAATGCATCTCGTTTTAACCGCCAGAAGCCCTGGTTTTAATTCGCCTGTGCGAGTTTTTTAGTCTTTTCCAAGAGAGTTCTCAGCAACTAAGAATTTTGTTAATAAAACTACGAGCAGGGAAGTGTGTTTGTACGAACCGTCTTTTTTTCTAACCTAACTCGCAAAAAAGTGTTCACTTATTTGGTGGCATCTTTGCCATAATCACGATCTGTAGCGTTGGAAATTTCATAGCATCTGTTCTCTGCTTTATTTGTGGCTATTGATTGTGATCAATGAAGCGTCGGTGGCTGAGTAGTTACTGTGTGAGAATCATAACTAACACTAACGAACTTCAGTGAGCGTTAGTGCTATACTACGACTATTCTTTTTTTTCTAACCCAATTCGCAACTATTGGGACACCTTTACAGTTTTTTGATGGCATGTGCTTTGACATTCGAATAGTAATAAGTTAACCCAGTTGATGGATTTTAAGTTCATCAATTGAACCGAAAAAAGCTATTTGTTCCCAACAAAATAACAATAAAAAACTCGATTTCAGAAATTTTTAAAATCGCATGTCTCCCAATTTTTTAAATTGCTTTATTTATACACAATAACATTTGCATTATTTGCAAACTTGTGTATATTTGATTTTAATGCCACTTTTGCTGCTTCGCATTGGCAACTTGTCAGCATATGTAGCTTCTTTATTTGTGACTAGTGTTTACCAACAGAAATAGGTTTCGCAAAATTTTTGAAATCCATAATTTATACAAAATTTGGCTTTATACTTTCCAATTTATTGCATGCAAAGTCAGTGCGGTTGCCTCTAGTTAATTAAATTTCAAACTATTACAGGCAAAGTTTGTCTTTTTGTGCGTTTTAAAGCTCAACAATTTTTTGTCGCTTTATTAAGAGTAAGGAACGTAGTGACTACTCTTATAAAGGTCTTGCTGATTTTAAGAGTCCTAAAATTTGTTCACGCTCAATTTTGGTTTTTCGCGGTTTGACTTGTGATTTCTTTTTAAGTTCAGTGCATTTTCATTGTTAAAAAGAAGGCAAACTGCACTATCGAACAGAAAAAGTGTAAAGGTCACCCAAAACGTGATCGACTTCTTCGAAAATGCAAATTAATTATCAGATTTCTCAGCGAAATAAAAGTTTTACATATTGATCCAGTTTTCTCAAATTGGGTTAGTTTTAACCGAAAAGTGTCCATCATAAAGTGTTCTACAATTTCAAAGAGCTTTAAAGCCATCAATTTTTTTTCTTTGAAATTCTAACTTGAAGGCTCTTGAAAAAACAAGTCAGTTTTTTTTCAGTTTCCTTGCGTTCATTACTTTTTTCCAACTGTTAGTTGGCTATGTTACCTGTGTTTGCGAAGGTGCAGCTTCGCCTGTCTTGATTATTTTCGAAGACATTTTGCGCCCGTCATTCATCAATCAGTCATATCTTAATGTGAATATTTACGTCTTTAACTGTGACAGTATGCAAAAGTACAGGAAAGGACTTAGAAATTGCACTTTTTGCTTTTTAACCGATGAAATAAACTAAAGTTTATACAATTTTGCCAGTTTTGCCGAGAACCCCCTGTAAACAGTACAATGAGTTTGAATTTTTGAAGTTGAAAGTATTTATTGAAAAACTAAGAATCTTAAGTTGGCCTTCATGTAGGATTTTTTTTGTAATCATGAAAAAGAGTTGAAAAAACATCTCAGCTAGAAAAAAATTTAACTCAGATTTTGGCATTTCACTAAATAGAATGATGATTTGTTTGTGAAATTTGTCTAAGAGTCCAAAAACTCAAACTCCTTGTGCTGTTTACAGGGGTTGATTGCAGTCCAAAACGGCTCTCTTTGGAACGGCCAAACTACGCTTTAAAGCAACATCCTTCTGTTTTTGGCCAATAGTTACTTTAAAACTGTTTTTGGTTCGGATAAATACCTTTAAGTACTCTCCTCTCATCTATCATGTTTCAAAAATTTAGCGACGCATCTCCAAAAGTGCCTGAGAAAATAGCAAAAACGTGAAGAAAATTTTCGTTTATTTCATTGGTTGAAAACTAAAAGTTACAAGTTATGTGACTGCATTCTAAAAAAAACTATTTGGCAAGTGAAAAAGACGGCTGAGAAGAAAATATCCTTTAGGAGAAGTTTGCTACACTTATTCTACAGCCAGTTAAGACCGAAGTGTAAAATGATCTCTTCTACGCAGCTCCTGAAGGGTGTTGTGTT